GCCGCGCGGGTCACCTCATGGTGACCCGCGCACGCACGAGTCACCGTGGTCTGTCCTGCACCCAAAGTTGTCCAGAACGTCCAAAACACGTTTTTTGCTATTTTCATGGGATTTCTTCTATTCCAGAGGTTCCCAACTACTTAGATATCATCTCCAAACATGGTTACATAGTTGTCAACTGAGGATAAGACCAAATCCATTGTTCTTATCCGAAAACCCCCAACCGAAGCCTATAAATATAGGCATAGGGACTCATTTCAAAGGGGTGATTTATTATCAAGATGAGGATGTGCTGTCGAACTTTAGAGTCAAGAGCCACGAATTTCAGTAAGAGCTAACGAGATCCCTACGAACTTCGGCATAAAGAAGGAGTCTTTCGAAGAATCTGAAGCCTCGTCCCCTCTTTCCTTGAGATTAGGCTTGGTCTTAATCTCGAGAAGAGTACTGATTTTGCTTGGTTGATATCAGTACTTCAGCGAATACTTCCTTGGTGAAGTAGGAGCTCTGATCAATACTTTTGTCAACCGGATCTGATCCGTAGGTTGTCCACAGATATCAACGTTCCCGACACAGACAAAGATCCCACACAAAACAGAGACTAATAAATAGGATCTGTGTGTTATTTGAAAGAGATTGTAATCAGTTATTTTCATTTTATAAAAGCCTTATAAAAAGACTAATTTTTGTTGAGTTTATTGTAACGCCTGAAGTTGTAATAGATTCAATCACAATGAAGAAAACAATTTCTGACCCAAACAGATACATATTCTCCTGTAGCCCGAATCTTAACTATCCGAGTATTATTAGCCTTTGTTGCTATTCATAAGCTGACCATACATCAGATGGATGTTAAAACTGCTTTTCTGAATGGTGATTTAGATGAAGAAATCTATATGCATAAACATGAAAGCTTTGTTGTCAAAGGTCAGGAAAACAAAGTCTGTAAACTTGTTAAATCTCTGTATGGTCTAAAACAAGCTTCTAAACAATAGCACCAGAAATTTAACAAAGTCATTGCACAATATGGCTTTACTGTGAATGAACACAATAAGTGTGTCTATTCTAAGCTGATAAACAATGACTATGTCATCATCTATCTCTATGTTGATGATATCCTTATCTTTGGAACAACTCTTGAAGAAATCCTAAAGGTTAAGGATTATCTATGCAAGAACTTTGACATGAAAGACTTAGGTCTTGCCGACATAATACTTAGAATTAAAATCACTAGAGACACTAGAGGGATATCCTTGAGTCTTTCTCATAGTATTAAAAAAATACTGATCAAATTCAATTTTTATGATTCTAAACATGTCTCTACACCTTATGAGTCTTCTATATCTTTGGTGAAGAATGAAGGTGAACATGTCTCCCAGCTGAAGTTTTCTCAGCTGATTGGATCTCTCCTATACATATCCAACCGAACTAGACCCGTTATAGCTTATGTTGTAGGGAGACTGAGCCGGTATACCAACAAACCTACCAAAGATCACTGGATTACCTTAGAGAGAGTATTCAAATACTTAAAAGGCACAGTTGACTAATGCTTGACTTACATTGGGTATCTTGATGCTATAGAAAGGTATAGTGACACTAACTGGGTCACGAATTCTAACAGTGTAAAGTCTACATCTGGATATGTTTTTCTCTTTGGTGGTGGTGTTGCTGTATCCTGGAAATCCTTTAAGCAAATAGTAATTGCCAAGAGCACCATGGAGTCTGAATTGATTGCTCTTGATACAACTTGTACTGAAGCAGAATGGTTAAAAGATCTACTTTCTGAACTTCCTTTGGTCCCTAAGCCCTCTCCTCCAATTTACATTCATTCTGATTCTAGATCCATCATAGAGCTTCTAAAGTAAGTACATGTAAATAAAAACTGAACAAACACATTCAAATAAGATATAAATCTGTACAACACATGCTAGGCAAGGTTATGATTTTAGACTTTGTATAGTCTGAAAAGAATCTTGATGACCCTTTGACTAAGGATTTATCCAGGAGTGTGGTTCTGGATTCATCGATGGAGATGGGGTTAAGCCCATAAGTGAGGTCACCGATAGTGGTAACCCAACCTTTATTTGGAGACTTAATCTCAATGTAGATTCAATGTGGTAGAAACAAGCTAGACTAGTAACACTCGTGTGGAGCATTGACTCAAATATATTAATATATTATTATGTAGTATTTGCTACTACCCCTTCTCTATGGTGACGATGCTCTTATGATACAGCTGGTAAGGTTGAGTTTTACTCTTAATAAGTCTAACATGGGTATTACGAAGGGTATGATATCAAGCTGTAGTACCCTTAGAGGACTTATCTATGTGACGGGGCTAACCCCTAGAAACTCTCATGAGTCGGTTATTGTGAGCATTGCCTTTAACCCTCAACCCGCTTTGCTCAATAGATGAAGACGTATTGTGTATGTTTTCATCAATACCTGGTACAAGGGGCCTAATTCAAGGTCAAGTCCATTATGTCCCTCAGGTTGCGATGAACTCACTAAGAAAATGTTCAATGTCGAAATCTACCTCTCCCGAATTCACGATACGAAAGGTTGCCTAACCTATATTTGTTTTGTGATTTATTAATTTTTGAGTTTTCAGTCAAATATTGCTTTTTGGAGGGACTATTGGCTATGTTGTTAGAGGAAAGGCAATTTTACATTCATGAATAGTCCCACATGGACTAATGTAATGAATAGTAAGAGGTTTAAATTGCTTCTCCACTCATTGTGCTTTGAGGATCCCTATGAAGAGGGTGTATTGGGCATTGTATTATTTAGGCTTTGCATAACATACATGCGCGCCCATGCCACGACTCGATGTGCGCGCACGTTTTTCATGTGGATATGTGGTTGTAATGGCTGTCGTGATCTGCATAACGGCTATTTTGAGAGCACGTTTTGGAAAAACATGCATAACAACTCCGTTCATTCAGCGGGGGTTACATCTCTCCACCCCTATATAAACAGCCCAAGACCCTATTCAAAGATACAACAACGAAAACAAAAGTTCTCTTCTCTTTTCTCAAAGCCAAAGCTTTCTTATTTTCTTCCTCTCTCAAAATTCCTCGGTTATTGTTACTTTTATTTGGGCAACTCTCTTCATATGAGCAGAAGCTCTGCACTTTCGCCTGAGTTCAGAGGTCGGTTGATTCCGGGGGGTTTTTACCGCTAGGAGAGAGAGGATCATCTGCGCCAGGGCGATAGGCGGGTCCTTAATCTTCTAGGGCAGTGTTTACACGGCTGCTCCAGATCAGGCCAGATTTTCTTGTTACTTTTATTTTTCGGAGTTTTGCATGCTATAATTTAATATTGTTTGATTGTTATCTAACAAGCTTTTGATACTTTCAATTTCTAATAATTTCAGTCTTAGTAGATGCCTATTATGTTGTTTTATTTAAAAGAGGATTGTAAACAATAGAGGTATTGCTTTCTGATCAAATAATACTTTCCTCTTTCATTATTCTTGGTGAGCCTCTTGATGAATCCAAAGATGGCGCGGCATCAGATTTTCAAAGCTATACTTGAAGATGATTCTAGGATTTATCTTTCCGAATCCTAAAACGATTAGAGAATGTAGGAACAAACTAGTGGCATTTAAATTGGGCATCAGGGCCAAAATCAATACAACAGAAAATGAAAGAATCTGAAAAAATCTTCTCTTTCAAAATCACAGACAGCTTGTATTTTTTGCCCCCACGTTTAATTTGCTTTGAATTATATACAACCTGTAACCTGTCCTCTATTAACACCGATCAACATCTCTCCATTCAAGGTACACTAAGCCAGCAAGATAATGAGTATAGGCCCCTGCAATGACAAGAACATGAAACAACTGATGACTATTACCCACAAGATCAAACTTCCCCGGCTTCCATCTCTCAGGAACCCTCGTCACGTAAGCAACAATGCCAAGCCCATAAAAGACACCCATAAGAAACTCGTATCCTGTTGACAGTATCGCCTCTGGTCGATCACTGAACACAACAAGCTTGTGCACTATCGGAACTAAACCTGAAATCCCCATACAGAAGAAGAGCGAGGCCCTCACTGTTCGAAACTCAGCAGTCTGGAACACTGGCACAAAAGAGACAAGGACAGAGGCTACTCCAAAGGTAGTTATAAAGCAGATATATAGGTTAGAGATGAAAGGATCACATATGAAGGAATAATAGACTAAAGGGTAGAAGGACGTGACGATGAGAGTGGATATTCCGGTGTAATCAAGACGAAGCATTAGGTAGGAGGTTCTTTCGGAGTGACAGGAGGTGAGGTGGCAGACGCTGCTCGCCAGGAGGCAGAACATGGCTCCACATAGGAAGGCGAAGAAAGGCCAGCGAGTGATTGGCGTTGAAATCAATGGTGATATCGCGTTGGACTCTTCGTCTTTGATGCTCTCCTGAAGTTACAATGGAATATGCATATAAGTTTGCATCGGTTATTTCATGAAAATGATATGAGACTATAATCCTCAAATATGGTATGATAGTAACCCAGGTTTAAAACTCACTTTTCACACATTTAAAGCAGATTAGGGGGCAGAGAGAGAGAGAGAGAGAGATGTTTATGCGTAAACCAGTTTAGGTTTTAATTCGTGAAAAAAAAATTTCAACTTGCAAAGGCACATTAGAGAACAAAATAATAGCCATCAATACTCATCATAATTTCCCAATATTGTTGTATTTAAGTGAGGATTTAAGGATTTTTTTCGACCAAAGTACATGGGTCACTGATGTTGTTGGCATTGACAGAACTCTTTGGACAGTTGATCAGAATTTGTGGAATTTTCCAAGCTGATAATTTTTGAAGTATGCCTTCCACAGAGGATACAAAGTCCTTTAACTCATCTCCTGACAGAGTTGCAGGATGACAACTTTAAGACAAAGAATGTTGAATTGATGAGCTTACTTCTCTCGGTATCATCATTGCAGTGATCACAGTCAGAACTAGAAATATGAGGAATCCAATCAGGTGCCTGAGAAATCAGAAAATTTTGAAATATTTTCAGAGGTATTGTAATTGATAAACAGAATCAAAGATGAAAGACTAAGAAATATAAGTCTTACGTCCAAACGTTAAGAGTCTCGTTGTGAACAGAGAACATACTGAGGACAGTCTCCTTCAATGGCCATTCGCATCTATAGCAGCTCACTATGAACTCATTGTCCTTCAAATAATCTGGCAAAGAATCATAATCAACAAGAACACACTTCGGTTCCTCGCACATTTTCTTCGCAATTTCTTCACTGCCTTCCCTGCAGTTTCTCTGAATCGAGCAAGTCTCGTCAAATGCAAGAGATGACAACAACATGGCCTTCTTAGTTATGTCTCGCTGCAAAGAAAAAGGATGCAGAGAGATACAATGCTAAATGGTTCACCGATTTCACAAGCTAACTGAATCTCCATTGAATTTCTGGTTGAAGTAGGATTTTCGACATTTAATAGATAAGCTGATATTGGTGGGAATGGTTAGGGGATAATGACATCTTACTCCCTATGTGTCTCTTGTTTCTTTCTTGTGGGCTTCAATTTAGTGGGGGTTCATTGCTTGTTAGGAAAGAGAAAGTCAAGGAATTGGAATCCTTTGAGTAATATTCCAATCATGAATCCGGATTCTTTCAGCATAAAATAAAACTAGTATTCATCCCGTGCTAAGCACGACATCCTTACAGATTATTTTTGTGCGTAATTTTTCCTCATCTCATTTTTTTATTTTGTCAAGATAAATTTATCTTAAACATACTTGAAGTCTATCATATGTAACTAATGAGGATATTGTTTTGTCACGATAAATTTATCTTAAGCATAGTTGAAGTCCATCATATATAACCAATGAGGATATGCAGATGGGTATTTGTTTGAAATTCATCATATACTTGAAGTCCATATTTAAACATAGAAAAATAGATAATTAAAACTCTTAACACAGATAGTTAAATCTCTTGCTTAACCCTTTAAGTAATGTATATAGTTGTGAAGTTCAACATTATGGATCTGTTAATTATTTAACTTGGCATTTAACCTAACAACTGTGATATATTATCTGATATATGCTTCTGTAAACATATATAAATTTTTGAATAAAACATCAAATGTTTTACATATACAGATAAAAAAGATCAAATTCTGTAAACATATATAAATTTTTGAATAAAACATCAAATGTTTTACATATACAGATAAAAAAGATCAAATCTATTGTAATTACATTTAACAAAAGTATCAACATCAAATGTTTTACATATACAGATAAAAAAGATCAAATCTATTGTAATTACATTTAACAAAAGTATCGAAATTAAGTTTCAATATACATCTTAAACTTTTGCATAATTACAACTACATAATATTGATTAATGATGAAAAGGGCCAATTGCACTTAATTACTCTACAGCATCAACACTTAAATTTGATATCTTGAAGTTCAAGTTTGCCCTAATAATATCATACAGTTTCATGAATTTTATCTTTAATATCCTCAGTTATAACACCGTTTAAACTTTTGTTTAAAAGGCCTCACATTTGGACCTCGACATCCCCAAAATTCCATCCATGTCCCTATCTTCCTTCTTCAGTCAACTAAAAACACTAAAATTTGGCATTGAATTGTAACAAAAATAACCCTGCTTAACAATTTTAACAATAAAATTCGATGTGAACACCCTAAACTGAAAGCAAGAATGGACACGAAATGTTTTCTGGGAAAAATTATCAGCAAAACCCACACGCAGAATTAGCAGCCACCTACAACAATCAATATATATAGCAATATAACAACATAATATTAGCAGCTTTACATCAAAAGTGTAGTACAACTTCCAGCTATCTATTTGTATTTAGATTTACAAATATATAATACTACAAATACATGTAAATTCTGCAAATTTAAACCAGCAAGAACTTGAGATTTTGCTGATATGCTGATTCTCTTTCAGCAGCATACTTCTGTTTTTTTTTTGTTTCCAAATTAAATTTTCTACAAACATAAGCATTTTATTTCCTAGAGACTTCAACAAAGCCCATGGAGAACATCAAGTGCAGCTTGGAGGATTTGTATATTTGTAAACAGCTGAAGGTGGTTCTTTGACGTCAGGAATGCTCTTCGGATCTACTAACCTCACATCCCCTGGACCGAAGAACATTTCATTATGCCTGCATGAATTGAAAAGATTCGCATTAAGTGATCGATCCGGCTCTAAAAAATTGAGATTTCAGTGCTAGGAAAGGGTGAAAAGATAATTAACCTTTTTTAGGCTTCATGTAGATGGGAAGAAGAAGAAATAAGAGTAGAACCTAATGCAATGATATCCAACTTTCAACAATATATAGTGTCACGAATTAGCCATGAAGACCATGACAATGCCACCGATGACCATATAGATGACGGTACAAGAATAACAATGACAAAGCCTTTATCCTAAAATTTTAGGGCGGGTACATGATTCCTCTTCCACTCGGTGCTATTAAGGGATATCCCCTCGACTGAGTTACTCGGTAAATATCCTTACTGACAGCTTCTAACCAGGTTCTCTTAGGCCTCAAGCTTACCTCTGGTCTTCCTTTCACCGTTGTGATCTTAACGCTTCTTCTAATCGGGCATCGATGACCTCCACCACATATGACTGATCCATCTCCAACAATTCTCCATTTTATCATCAATAGAAACAATTTTTAACCTCTTAATGAATTTTTTATAATATCTCTTCGTGTATATCCCCTCGTCCATTGTAACATTCTTATTTTTTCTAAACGCCATATTGACGATGGTCTATAATCATAATGATAACAACAAATCGGTTTGAATAGCATTGAAGTTTAAGTTCATAAAGGAGTTAGCTCTACATGTCCACCAAAGCGGGTTGGAGTTGAGCTAACCCCACCAAAAAGGTACCTCAGACTCAAATACAGGAAGTAAATTGTCAAATACTAATTCTGCAATGAGAGGTAAAAGACGTTATTGGGTGGGAGGTAGCTCAATGAGGAAACACATTCAAATAGGTAAAAAGGGAAGCCATGTTTTAAATAAAAGACCAGATTAGACATGTAACATGCTAACTTTGTAGCATCACAACTTCTCAACAGAAAACCAAGGGTGTAAGAGATGAAATTACCTGCGTTGATCGAGTCCTATTAAACCAGCTTGTAGAACTATCAAATTATCTGAATCTGGCGAAACAATAATCACAGTATCTCCCGCATATTGTGTCTCTAATATAGAAATGAGTTGTGTCACCCTTACAAACACATCAGCAACACTCTCGTTGGGTGCTCCATCATCAATAGGAGGTGGTTTGATGTTTGGAGAAAGACTATTTGATGAGTAAACCTGAAATTACTAATTCACACAAAAAATAAGTTAAAAGTATCAAATAGAAATTAGTAATTATGTTGCTAAGGAAAAAGATTAATAATGACAGAACAATAGTCGTCAGAACTTCATGCATCGTTTCATCTCAAGTTTGCAAATGTTTCTTCATCATTAACTTGTACTTTGTTTAGCAATGGACCCAGTTCACATCATATATCCTGTCTTTATACTCCACAGTTCGTAGTAGTTTAAGATCTATCATTAACATTGTCTTGGTTTCTTTATAATTGCGCACAAATATGTCTGAAACGTATTATATTGAAAGAATATGCAAGTTGAATAAATGCATTAGGGAAAATATACATACAGAAGTGAAATCATCATGTCGCCCTGATGTTTTGACATTAGCATATCTGAAATCAAACAATGATGTTTTAATTTAAGAGATGTTGACAGATAATAATCTTTAAAAGCAAGTTAAATAAAAAACAAACTTTGAATCTAAGCGGTATTTGGTTTCTTTATCTTCATCATCATCTTGCTCCAATGATATCAAAATAAAAAACAAATAAAACCCAACTAAAATTACGGAAATACTACAAAGGTATCAAAAGTATATATTTTAAGACAGCCTGCATCAGGAAACTAACGAAAAAATTTCAATTTTACAAAGGCCAAAACCCAACTTGAACTACCAGAACACACTTCGGGGGAAACATTTAAAAAAAATAGCAGATTTAAAAACTACAGTCAAAACCCACTACCCGAATTGACATGAGCATACACAAGAGACCCAGGTCTCAAAAGCTACCAAAGTTTCACAAAAAATCATTCGAAAGCAGAGGCCTTATCATAAAGGATTAAAAAAAGACTCAAACTTTAAAAAGAAAAACTCAACGCTCAAATCGAAATTACATTCGAACAAAAAGATAACCCACAATAAACAGCAAACCATGTATGAAAATATACCAAATTTTTACTTTAAAAAATGTAAAAGGAAAGACTTATATGCAGTAACGTAAGGAAAATAAATTAAACCCAACTAAAATCTATAATAACGTGATGGGTAAACTGGAAAATAAATTGAAATGACAAAAGGAGCCTCACTTTCATGAGGGGGTAACTCATGGGTTGAATCAAACAAATAGAAACATAATCCAGTAAACAATATATTCCTATGTACAGTTTGCTTGATTTAAATTCCAGCGAAGGATTTGTTCCGCAAATTGTTTGAACAAAGTTCTATCAAATATTGAAGAGAATTGCTTGCAAGAAAAATGTTCTTGAAACTACAGGATTGAATCTTCATAAAATTGTATAGTTCACAAAATGAAAGCTCTAATGTTAAACCAAAAACCTGGCAATTTATATGCATCTCAATGGACACCTATGCAAATGACAACAACTTCTAAAATGTCTGAAACGTATTATATTGAAATGTCTAAAACGTATTATATTGAAAGAAGATGCAAGTTGAATAAATGCATTAGGGAATATACATACAGAAGTGAAATCATCATGTCGCCCTAGTGTTTTGACTTTAGCATACCAAAAATCAAACAATGATGTTTTAATCTAAGAGAAGTTGGCAGAGAATATTCTTTAAAAGCAAGTGCATAAAAATAGCCAACCAACTAAGAGAAGTTACCATAATCTAAGAGAATTTACCATAATAAATAGTAATATAAATCATTAATTAAGAGAATAGCATGACTAATAAAAATAGCATGACTAATAAAAACACTTTACTTCTCCTAACATAGCAGTACATAAAAGATTTCTATTTAATTTTAAAAAAATTGTTTTGTTTTGTTTTCATGACATTTTACAATTGACAGCGCTGGGGATTAAATACACGAATTCAAGTAGCCAACCAACTTCAGCACTGTCCTAAAGAAATCAAGATTATTTAACTTAGGATGCAAAATATAGCACAATGATAATCAACAGAAATGGCACAACAGTCCACACTCATCTTAAATACTAAACAGAAAATTGACAAATGGTATTCAAACACAGCAGCGTCTATCATCACCCGCGTTTTAATATGAATAAAAATAGCTCAATTGGTAGGCACTAACACAAA